CTCACCACCCCCGTGACATCATCATACCACGTCGTAGTCCGTGTGCAATGGCGGAGGTAAAGGGTGTCCCCTGAGATTTGAAAATACTCCCTCCGTCCCATAATGTAAGACGTTTTTTGACATTAGTACAGTGTCAAAAAACATCTTACATTATGGGACGGAGGGAGTAGCTTTTATACCATAGAAGGAAGGCTAACAAATAAAAGAAAAATACAACAAAAAAATGTATAAGTGCAGTACCGCTGCTGGACCACCCTGGCCTAGTGGGCTAGGTCCGCCATTGCCCGGGCATGTGCGGTGCTGTCGGCGGCTCTCCCGCACTACTGTTGCGCAGTCATTGAATCCGACATCACTTTCACAATCTTCGGTCGCGGCAAACGGCCACGATGGTGAGGCAAGTGTGGTCGCGGGAGGAGAGAGCTGGAGAGAAAAAATGACAAAAATGAAAGAGAGATGTCCCACTGACAAGTAGGTCTCATGAGGTGCGAATTTTTCTGGAAGACTTGAATAAGGAGAATCTGAGTTTGCACATACTCTTGCAGCCTCCAAAAACATTTAGGTCGTGTTTGGTTGCCCGCATTAGGCCCAGCCTGGCCCGTGCGAGAAAGATTGAGCCCGTTTGGTTGGTTGCATTTACTATTGGGCCTGCACAACACGAAACTTAAAGCACACATGGGCCTGGCTCCCCGAAAACGCTTAGGTCTGCAGTTTCTAGCGAGCCTGGCTGAGGCGAGCGCACATGATGGGCCACTTGCACGAGGGGAGATGTGAGGGATACGAGCTGGTATGCAGCATGTGCGTGCTTATCTTCTCCTACCTCGAGTAATCTTCTCTCTAATGTTGTTCTTCCTAGCCCCTTCCGATCTACACAACGGTACTTCGATTCGAGGTAAGCTCTACACGAAAAAGATGCACCTCGATGCTACGGTTCCATTCAGGCGATCGGTTCGTAGTTTCGTCGGCCGTAAGTTCTTAATCTCGTGTTCCCGTTTGAAGCTATCCTGGACGAATTTTGTTAGATTCGTCGCGCACGATCTATCATTTGAAATTTCCTTTGAGCAGCAGCCTAATCTTGCAGTCCCTCACAACATTCGTGTTGTAAGTTTTTGGATTCGACGATCGTAGCTTCATCTCTCTATGAACAGCAGTCTACTGCACTGACGCTGCCATGTCGAGCTCCTCTATCCTCTACTCAGAGCTCTCCTATTCGTTCCTCTCGACGCCGAAGCTCTTCCCCTTGATCTCCTTGCCCACGTCCTACTACACTAGAGTCGTTTTCGACGTCGCTCATCTCGGCCTACTCTCTGTCGTCCTCCTACTGCACTGACGCCGTAATGGCGCGCACACTGCTTTCTTGTGTCCTCTACCTTCGTGCACACTGCAGTTTGCCGCGCCGCCGAAGGGGTCGATCATCTTGGCCTTCTCTCTCTCTTCCTACTACATTGGAGTCGTTCCCGGCGTCGATCATCTCGACCTCCTCTCTCGTCCACTGCACTGACGATATCATGGCGCGAGCACTGCATTCTCCTCCTCTGTCGACTGTCTTTGCGCGAGCACCGCGACTAGTTCGCCGACGGTGTCGCTCGCGGTGCAGCCGACGGGGTCGCTCGTCCACGACTCCATGCTCGTCATGTCGGACAAGGCGCCACGACCACTATCCACCTCAGTCGCCATGGTCCGGCGCACACTGCATTTCTTCTCACCCTTCTTCTGCTAGCTCTTAACCCTGTGTGCTAAGTGCAAGTGCTAGCTCTTAATCATACCTCATGCGGGCAACCAAACAACGTGTAGTTGCATGCGCCGAGACAATGCAGGTAACCAAACAACATGCCAAAGTTGATTCCCTAATGCAGGAAGTCCATATGCAGGCAACCAAACATCTCGCATATGTCGCATATGAGGCTGTTTTTTCAGAGCCTGGCTGGGTTGAGATGTGTATGCAACGCAGGTACTGTTCAAGACTGCAACCAAACAGGCCTTTAGAGTGAAGTCCAAAACTTTTTAAGAGGTTGCGGATATGGATAATCTGCTAGAGCCCACGAGCGATGGTGTGCCCTACAACTACATGTCTACAACAGAGTACACCGTATACCCAATTGACAAACATTATACTCATCCAAATCAGAGCTGGCAGTTCCCACATCATGTACAGACAGGATTTCGTAGTATTTTCTCATTAAAATCTATCACTTAGCCTCCCTCTGCAAGTGCATTAGTTTGTAGCGCATGTAATATATACTAATTAAGTAAATAACAACGAATTGAAAGTGTCCCCACCTTTAAGAAAAAAGAGAAATCAAATATAGCAGATATAAACCAGATTCATCGGTTCTAAAAAAAAACCAGATTCATCTCATATGGTCGGGTATCAAGTAGTACAGGTAATTAAGCTAACACATGATTCCAAGATGAGCATACTAAAATCTCCAAGATTTAGTTGCTCCTCGGAAAGATCTCTATAAGTGACAAGTGAGGATAAGAGACGACTTCATCTCAGGTGGCTACATGTTAACTAACCTAACTAATCCAAGTTCACCCCGGAATGAGCACACTAAACTCTGGGAGACTTCGTTACTCTCTCCAGGATATCTCCTAAGACAGCAGGGCATGATCTTTTCAAGTGCCCATACCCTTGGCTTGCAACCACACCACCCATTCTATTACAAGAGATGGCAAATTCAATGCAAGCATCTTTGAGCCCGCTGCAATGATACTGATCAGCCAGAGCTAACGTGGCCGCGACAGTCTCGACAGTAAGACTTTTGCAGAGACTAGCTTCGCACATCACCTTCATCCTTTCCATGGCATAGCGATCTGCAGCCACCAGTAAATGCTTAACCATGTTGCCATTCTCCTCATCGGGGTTCTCCGGTGAAGGCAATGAATCCGAGTAGATGAAGTGAAGCAATTCCTTGAAAACATCAGGCTGCATATCTTCCACGGTTATGTTCCGCGCCGTCCTGTCTCCCATCGGTCCATAGAGCTGTGCCTTGAAGACCGGTGACCGCATCGCAAGCACGAGCTTGTGCGCATGGAAAGTCTCCCCTCTAACATTGAATGTCACGTCTGCTTCCTCCCCCGTGTCTCTCCATTTTCCAAAATTATCTGCCAAGTCTGAGGGTGGCACCCGGATTTTAACGGTCTCCTCAACAAGTGGTTCCTTGATCACAGTGAGGGCACACTCAATCATGAGGCGGTCACCCCGCAGGAACGGAGACTTCTCTAGTTCGCTTCTCTTCTTCTTGAGCTGCTTGTTTCTCCGAAGGATGGATGGGTCCTTGCTGGCGTCGGAATCGAACTCTGTCGGCGATTTCGGACAGCACCTCCCCGTGAACAGATCGATTTCATGGTTGACCAGCCTCAAGTCGTAGATCACCCTTGCCGTGGCGCCCTTGGTCAGCAGCTCCAGGTAGACTGACACGTGGTCCTCGCTCTACTTGCTCGCGTCCCCGTCGGGGTAGTAGCGTATGCACCATTCGTAGCCGCCAACGGAGACGGGGTTGGACTGGATGAATTTGCCGGCGCCGATGCCCTTGTGCAGGCTGTACCTGGCGATCTCGAACACGAGCGTGGTCTCCGCCGTCGTTGGGGTGCACACCGACACCACCCTTTCTGTTGGCCTCTGGGATGCTGCCATTGTGAGGGTTTTGCGGCGGGATTGGGATCAAAGGCCGCGGTGCTCAGAGTTGGGGATTGAGAAGCGTCGCGGCGGTCTGGGCGTGAAACGGGACGGGCGGCGGGATCGAGCGGGGGGCGAGGGTTTTGAGCGAGCGACCGGGAGTACGTGGAGAGGGTTTCTCTCCGCTCTGCTGCTGCTATGTTCTGCAGTCGCCGGCTTCCACGCTCACCGAGGCCTAGAATCGATGGGATCCCAAGCACTGGGTCGGGTCCCAGTTTAATGACTGCATCATGAGACAGCCCTGGACGTGACGACCTACAACAACAACGGCTGACGGTGTGCACTACAACAAGACTACAGATGAAACCCGGCTGACTTCGCAGTCCAAAAAGACTAAAGCCCGGACGATTTTCACAAGGAAGGCACATAAGCAAGTAATCGCCAGCTGTTCTAAGCACATCACAATTTTGTACAAACAGATATCCAGTACCTAATTGGCTAAGAAACATAGCATACCGCTCGCAATCATACAAAGCAAGCAAGCAAAGCATAGAACTGACTTCTTTCAAAAGAGCTGGAAATATGTAACACATTTTTGTATAAACATATTCAAAGCTACACTACATCTCTAGGGCCTAGCAAGCATAGTAACGGAAAATTGGAAGAAGGAAAATGTCAACCGTGTTCATATAGTAACGAAAAATCCACTCTACACAACTTGGAAGCCACCATGTCAATCTGCGCCACGATTTGGAAAGATGTTTGTGCATATCACCTACTTTCCCTTGTATAGCGGTCGGTAAATATCCATAACGTTCGTAAATTGAAGCGATATACATGCTTGTGTGGCGGTGCATTTGTGGGTACACATATTTTGATAAACACTGGATGCAATAAGTGATGTACTAGAACAACGCCTTGTGGAAAACCCACTCATTAGGTTCTTCCTCTTGCTAGCTTTCTATTCTTCTAGTTGTATGTTCTTTTGTAAGAACCTTTGTCTTCAGGTAGCAATGGTGTATAAGAAAAAGGACGTAGCCTATTCTGTTCTCGGCGATTGAAAGATGTCAACATAGAGGTATATCAAAGTTTTGTGCGCAAGAGGTTACTGTTCTTGTATGTTTGATCTATATTGAAGTTTCAAGTTGGCAGAACTGTTTAATTTATTTACCATGTGTTGATCATACACTACAAGAAAAAGACATGTTCGCTGTATGTTCAATACTCAATCACTTAACATATTCTAGGCTTTGAGATTTTCTCTCTTAGGATTCTCTCAATTCTCCCGGAGAAATAGGTTGCTCAGACAATGTCTTGTCAAATTAAACGGAGTAGCGAGCCATCTTAGGGCTATTTCCCGAGGTGTGAAATGACCAATAAAGACATTGGGCACTTATGGATAACCGACACGTGGCATAACAGTCGGATTTCAAATGCAGCTCGTGACTTACTTGAGGAGTAAGTCAAGTCGACTCAACTGCCAATGATTATTTCTCTAAATCTCGAAGAACATCATCTCGGACTCAGAGAATAATCACTCTCCACGAAGAGATTTCTCTTGTCTTCACTAAAAAAATAGGTTTATGATTGAGCAACAACAGCAACCTAAATCTCAATTGTCACTTGTACCCCCTTAATACTACGGTTTGCCATATGACTCAAATATAGAGGAAATGAAACTAGAAAACAAACTACTGTCTTCACGCCCACTTCATGTTCTCTTTGTAGCCAATTATTCCTCGAACATCATACCAAAACTATTGCTTGTCATCACAATTTTTTGGGGTAGTCTTCCTCACGAAATGCAATCATCTCTAAACTCTGGAGTGTTTGACAAAAAACTACCACTTTAGGGGTTCCCATCCCACAAAACTACCAGTTCTTAAAAACTGACCGAAAACTACCGAAAATTGGAATCTCGTGACTAAAAATTACAAAGTTGACATGATGACCGTTTTAGTGCTTTTAAGCCCGTTTCTGACAGGAGAGGCCCACCTGTCAGGTGGGCGGCAGCCGTAACGGCTAACGGCGCTCGCTTGCCGCTGTTAGAGCCACCTGTCGGTCGCACCTAGGCGGACAAGGACTAACCTGGCCGACCGGCCCGCTTGTCCCCACCCGATCTCACTCTCCCCCGAGCTCACTCCACTCTCTGCTTCTGTTTCTTCTTCTCGCACTATGGCGACGCTGCGACCATGCCGGCGTGGCTCAACAGTAATGAGAACTCCGACGATGACGAGTACATGAGCGAGTTCAGCAGCATGCAGATGGAGTACTTTGTAAGTCAGCTCACTCTCTCCTCTCCTCTCCTCTTTTAGGGTTAGGGTTAGGGTTAGGGTTTGAAGATAATTTTGATTTCTTCCATTTTTTTTCATGTATGTGAGCTGTAGTTGATATATATGTTTTTGTTGCTACAACAAACTCCTGAAACTGTGATAGACCCAAGTTTTAGTGGGCTTGTGACTGAATCTGAGTGAAGGCACATCTTGCACAGGCAGAGGCCAGGCAAGTTTGTGGTATTTGAAGGCAATGGCACTGGTAGGAGATTCATAGGATGTGCTACTGAGGTAATGGACCAAGTTGTCATGGATTTGATTAGCTTCATTTTGTGCTATGTAGTGGAAACAGAGTAGCGTTTAGTTGCTATTTTTCTGAATATTTCTGAAGTGTAAATACATTGCTATCTCTGAATATTGTACTTGTAGCAAAGAGCATTGGAAACATAGCAATGTAACGTAGCAATGTTTTGTGCTTTTAGTATAGAGCTAGATAGTGCAGCTATGTATATGATTAGTGTTTATGATACGTTATTCTGAATTTTTTTGTTACTGAACAATATAGCTTACTGTAAATTTAATTTATTTTTCAGGATGGTGTGAACTATGGTGTTCTGGAGTGGGTAGATGCCTCTTGACCTGTAATTCGGCAAAGGTGCTTAAGCAAGCTCTAGGATATGTATCATGAGCAGAACCTTGGTAGAGTCCAAAATAATGAGGCTCATGGGATAGAGGTTGCAAAACTGAAGAAGGAGCTTGATTCTCTGGGCAATCAGTACGGCCAACTAGTATGGATGATGTGTCCAAGTTGTTTGATTATCAGGATGGAATGAAATCTCATGACATGGATTGCACAAGCCAGACAATCAATAAACTGAAGGAGAAGAAAAAGCAACTTGAGGAGCAGGCAAAGATTGAGCTTCAAATGGAGAAGCTTAAGCTCAAAAAAGAATAAAGGTGCATCCTTCAGAGTCAAGCTGATATAATCCAAAACACAAGGAATGCCATGAAGGAGATAGAGGTGGACAGACACCTCCTTAAAGAAGAGAAGAAGAAGCTGGCAAAGAAAAGCTGGACAAGATCAAGGAAGTTGTGATGGAGGAGTGAAGTGACAACTCTGGTTTGTAAGTATATATGAGGCATATATATATATATATATATATATATATATATATATATATATATATATATATATATATATATATATATATATATATATATAACTGACCTAGGAATGATTAGTCTGATGCAAATATGCATCTTAATATTAATATTAGCTATGAACTGCCTTTGAACTGACTAAGAACTGTAATGGGTTCAGATCATTTTAGTTGGTGTGGGGGGTGCTGATTGCCCCTGATCTGTACTGCACAAATATTATCCTAATGCTGAGATCTGGCACTAAGTTAAGTTAAGAACTAAATTATCTAAGTCTGATGCAGTTTATTTCTGTGTGTTGTATCATAAATTGTTGTTGAGATCTGTTTACTTCAGAAATTGCTTCATCACAGCCTGCAAGAAAGTTAAACAGTATCTAAACAAGTTCAGAAAGGTTGAGACAAATTCAGAGAAGTTCAGACAAAAGTTTTGAAAGACACTTAGTCTCTCATAGATAGCATTTAGTCTTATAGAGATAGCACATAGACACTGAAAATGTTTCAAAGACACTTAAACACTAAACTTGTTAATACTGAACAACACTGACAGAACTGAATCTCACTGAGCCTGCAAACACTGGCGATAACTAATGTAACTGAATCTGAAACTTACAGTTTTAGATTTTTAGGCTCCTACCCTGCTAAGCATCCTGACCGTGGCACCTCTTGCTTGACTTGAGTGGGAGGTGGCCATCTGGCACCTCCTCTTCGTCTTCATCGATGACGCTGATGGGAGGAGGACGTCGGTGAGCCAGCAGTGCTGGTGGGGCGATGATCTGCAGGTCCTCGTTGTCGTTGCCCATAGCAGCTGGAGCCGTAGCTTGTGGCGGAGGGATATAGCGATGGGTTGCCCACCGTTGGCTCCGCCCAGCATTGCCAGAGTCCGCCTCCTTCATTGCCCAAAACAGCATGTCGATGTACAGGATCCCCTTACCTGGGGTTCCATAGCGCTGGTCCATGCGCTACTTCTCCTCAGCTGTCGCCTTCTTCCTCACCTCCTCTAATGCATCCACGAGCCCTTCTGTGCTGTTGTATCTCATGGCAATCTTCATGTAGTCTAGGAATAGGTCTTGGTCACCGCGAGTAGACCCAAGAAGCATGGCAACCCAGCCCTTGCCGGTGGGGAAGGGGTTCAGCCATG